CCACTGATATTAAAATGTCCGGAGACTCTTCCCTTGGTGCACATCACGCTCCTACTTCTCCAACACTCTAAACATTTCTTTAATACATTAGCAATGGATTGGAAGCTAGCATGTTCTAAATGTATTAATTTATAAGAATGCTCCCATACAGGACCTGTAAACATTCCGGCACGAGGTTGCAATCTAGTCTTTGTCCAGACGTGCACCCAGAAAAAAAAGGTAAAACTAAATGGGAGGCAGTAAGCAACATACTTTGGGTTAGAAGGGGTGGCAGAGAACAACTTTGATCCATTTGTCTCCTGGTAAATAATGTGTTTGGGACCAGCACTGCCATTTCATGAACTGGCAAACCCTCCTCCCTATTGGTAACCATTCCAATTGGTGAGAGTGGTCATGCCATACTTCCATAATTCCATATGAGTTCATCAGTTCAGAATGGCTGGTTATCAGCTGAAAAACAAATTCATCAAATAGTATGGCAATGGACCTGCTCCCAGAAGTGGGGGCAGAATGAAGAACCTTGTACTCTGTTGCGCTTTCTGTTAGGTCACTGATAACCAACTTGACTCATAACTGGAAGGAATGGATTTGCTATTTCCCAATTTTTGAGAACATTGGGAGCTGCCTTGTACTGAGTCAGATCAGTTCCAGTTTAACCCAAAGAAGGCATTTGATCCTGGGTGCTATATTTGTTTGTTTGTTTGTTTATTGTTTCACTTTATATGGCCATCCATTTGCCAAATGACTCTGGGTGGCTGACAACATTAAAAATGACCAAAGAATTACAGATAATAAAAATTTTAAAAAGCCAACATATAGTGCCAGGGTCAAAATTCACTCAGTCATATTAACTCATACTGACAGTTCATGCACCATCCTGGCTCAATGCTAGAGGAATGCAAATATTGTGCTGTGTCATTAAGCTACATCTCTTTCTTCCCATACTGAAATTACAAATGAAATGAGGTTTTAAGTTTGTCCATCTTTCCACAAGTTGCTATGGAAGCAACACAATGGTTAAAACATTTAAAGTGTTAGTGGGAATCTGCAATCATAATGTGGAAATGTGGAGGGAGGGAGGGAGATGAGGCTAACATAAAAAGGTATTCAGTACTTTGAAGCTAAACTGGATTCTGAATAACTTAGAATGGAGTATTTTGTTTGCTGTTCAAAAATATTTAAATAAGCTACTTTGGATCTTCATCACAACAAGTATAAACAAACTTAATATCTCTTCACCCTCTATAAGGTTACAAACAAATACCTCTTCTTCCCATAACCCATCCTTTATCCATATGCAAATCCATAAATCATCAACTTTTCAATCTGGGTGTCAGCAAAAAGGTCATAAAGGGTTACCAGAGCTTTATAGAAACATGTCTTATTTTAACCTTGGTCAAACAAACCAACTTTATATTTTTTCCTTTTACTTGTAATAATTTTGATCTTTAATTCATTCAGAGGTTGTCGTAGGATTTGATCTCTTTTCTATTTTTCCTTTTCCCATCCCAAAGGCTTCTTCGAGGCTTTAGCAAACCTCTTTTGTAAATCCAATAAAAAGTCATTATCCAAGTCATTCTCTTGGTTTATCATTTGTATTTCCATTTTAATTTTCAAGATTTTAACCAACTTCTTTTGCATATCCAGTAGAAAGTCCCTATCTAGGTCATTCTTTTCACTTGTCATTTGTGTTTTCCCTTTAGTGGTCTTTTCTGTCTTAATAATCCACACTTTTTTTTTTATTTTTCAGTATTTCTGGTTCTAATATTTCTACATCTGGTTCTAATATTTCTACAGGCAAAATTTGTTTCACCTCTTTATCCTGTAAATATCTCAAAATATTCTCTTTAACATCTGTCATTCCTTAATGAACATATTTTAGACATAGTCTATCCATAGAAGTAGACATCATTGCTGACATTGTAGCTGCTAATTTGTGACCCCATTCTTCAAAGATCTCCTGGAGTATTTCAAATGTCATAACATTTGTGTCATTTTGTAAATTCCAGTACTAACCTAAGACAAAGGGCAAGCTGTCACTTTTTTTTTCCATTTTTCTAAAATCATAAAGTTACAAATTTCTGTTATGATTTAGGATAGACAAAACAATTTAGTTCCCATAAAAGGCTGTTTATTTATATAATTATTTCCAAAATCTTATAGTAAAAGTCCTAATATTCCAAATTTGTCTGGACCCTTAATTCATTTATAACTTTCTTGGGTCAGAGTCTTATTTAGCTTTTTGCCATTTATTTCTAATTCTTTAAATTCTTAAGCTTATAATTATTTTTTTTTAATTCAAGTATGAAGAAAAACTCACCAGATGGCTTTTTAAAACTTGTTGTTTTGAAGAACTTAAGATGATTAAATAAATAATTTCCAAAAGTATTTAGAAAGTGAGGTTAGCAAACCCAGTATCGTTTAAAAGGCTCCACCACAGTTGAGAGCATGATGGCTTAACCCTTCATCTCCAGGTACTCAAACCTGTGGGAGACCACTGTCCTGTGGTCTCCTTGTGAGAAGCAGATGTCCAGAGCACATGTGCTACTCATCGGTTCAGTCTTTGCCATGATCGTCATCTCCACTCATTCGGAGATGTGCTAGTTTGCCATTCCTCCCCCGGAACTCCCACAGTTGTGTGATTTAGCAATTTTTGTGAAAATTATATATTCTGTCAATCAGAAAATGTCACATGATCTCTCCCCTTGGGAAAAAATCCTTGGACAGACTTGGTTAACATTGAAACTTTAATTTTTCCTTTTAAAGACTAACAAAATCAGGTATACTTGGGATATAGTTATAATTACCAGGCTGGGGGGGGGGGCAGAGTGTTATATATACACTTATGTAATATTTTCCTTTGGGTGTGTGTATAGTGAATTGTTCATTTTTATTTTATGTCTATTTGAAAATGGATTAATAAAAACAGTTTTATGACTTTTAAAAAAAATTCCAGAATTCTTCAACCATCACAACCATTGCAGTGAATGCTGAGTGTTAAATTCCATACATTTGGAAGGCGCCCAGGATGGAAAAGTGTGATGCAGGTACCAACTCCTTTTACAGTTCCTCCTTTCTATTAATAAGAACAACTACTTGTTACTTGTTTGGATGATTACTATATCCAAAACAGGCCAGGAATACTTATTATTCAAAGATCCAAAGCTGCCTTTGGCCTACAGTATATGTGACATTCATATCTGGTACACGTATTGCACAAAGCCACAATTTATTTAACAGTGGTTTCTGGAATAACATCAAATTGACTGGATTTACACAATGTGCTAAGTCAGGATGGGTGACAATTTGCAGTTATTTCACTGAGAAAGATTGGAGCATTGGAAATGCATGAGGGAACATAATTTGTCTGCCTGGGACTCTGTGGAAATTGTATGTCACCATGACTTGTTTCATATGAGAAAACCACAAATCATTAGCTGTTGTTTTCCAATGACATCATTAGCTAAGCTAGTTCAAACTATGACTGAGTTCACACATTGCATCAAGCCATAACATGGTTGGTCTGTTTTTCACTTAGCATTTTGGCCAAACATTGAGTTTATTCCATAAATCATTGTGAAGGAAAACATGACTTAACTCTCTATCTCTCTATCTGCGCATTTCAGCAAAGGAGAAGTTATATTTTTCTCATACTAGAGTCATATTAGCATCTGTTGGAATTAAAAAGAAGTATTCAGATTGCAAAAATTTCTAGAAATCTAAAGCCCTGCAAATGTAGGCTAGGATGGCAGAAATTAGGATTGTTGGAGTTTAAAAATCACTTTTACTGTAATTTCCTCTTGGATTGAAGGCATGGCAAAAAAAGAGTTTATGTAGCTTTCTCTCACAATTCTCTGCCCAGCTCTTTACATGCCCCCTTTAGGATTTCAGAGACTGGCAGGGAGAAAGATCCAGTGTCAGATTCCCCATTTTCTGATGTTGAAAACCTGTCTGTTTCCAACCTCAACAGCGTAGGTTCTGTACTCCTCAGTTACTTTAATCAGTTTGCCATATAATCCATTCAATGTAATGAGATATAACTAGATGACTGTCACTAGCCAATCTTCGACAGCAGAAACTAGCTGCTATATGTAGCTTATGGAATGAATTGTCTTATCACTCCTAGAAAGTATCTTAGTTGGTCTTTATTTTTAATTGTGTTTGTTAACATCCTGATATTTAACATAGAATATTAAGGTAAATTTTATTTAATATGAAAATCTTATTTGACATGAAAGTCTTTAAAGAATGCAGAATGAAACAAAACACTCACAAACAGAAATGTGCCCATATTTTATAGAGGCAGGATTTATAAAACCATAGCTGTTTCACTCCTGAATGGTTCACTTGTGTTCTCTATGTATAATGTTCTCTATTAGTATGACCCCGTTTGGCACAGGGAAAAATACAACAAAAATAAGTACTCAGTATTGTTTAATACAATTAAAATATTGTTTTTGCAGACTTCCAGTTGTAATACAAGATATCAAAATTTCCCCTGCTTTCAAGAAAAAAATAAAAGATCCCTTTATTTCATACACATGCACTCACACCACTTGATATATTTATAGTTATATTTTGGGAAATACTTGGTTCTTCTTGTCAATAGAATAAGACATTCATTTCAAAAACTGCAAATAGACTAATAATCTGTGGTTCTATTCATTTTTTCTCTCCACTTATTAAAAAAAATACTAGAATGTTGAATTAGAAAAAAATTAACAGTAACTAAGATGTTCAACTCTAGGGAATTCATCTTGATAAGTTTAAGAATCTTGCTAAGTTTATGGAAGTAAATATAACACAAGTATTCCATTTTAGAGTGTTAATTTCTAAAATATAACATCATCTGTATTTAAGTAATTGATTTGTTCATGTCTGATATCAACAATGAAAAATCAGTAATATGAGGTCTACAATTCACTTGGAAGATCTTTTATGTAAGCATTATTGAAATACATAGAAAAGATGCTGGACAAAACTAGTTTTTCCAGAAGATTTTATATTCTAATCTGTTAATATATAGCCAGTAGTGAGAGGCAAAGCCACCCTTACAGCAATCCAAGGTTCTGTAGAAGAAACATCAACCAGGGTCGCTGTGGCTGAATATGAGTCATTTCAGGAAGCTAAAAAAAGAATAAGACATGAGAGCCAAATATATTAATCTCTGGGAAAAAGAAGCCTTATGGGAAACATGACAAACTTCATTAGTAAAAACTTTATACCCGTGGTTTCTTTAAATATAGGAAGAATCTTCAGCATGGATGGACCTCATCAAATGAAAAACACCATCCTGGGATTTCAGCTTTTATGCCATCCATATAAAAAATGACATTAAGTTTACATTTGCAATATTTTGAAAGGACTTATGCCAAGAAACGTATCTGATGAGTCCCTGCTTTGGGGAATAATCATAGTTGAACATTTTGTGCCAGCACTATAAGTGTATGTATTCAGTGGATTATTGAATAACAAGTGGAGAGTTATTCAGATATTTTTTTTTAAAAAATAAGTAAATAGGTTTACATGCACTATATTTTAATAGAATGTTTGTATTCCAAGATTTACTGAGCTTTCCTTCCTGTCACTCTTCCCCCTTTATGTGACTCTGTTTGGAGAATGAAGCTTTCCCTTTTGTTAGGTTCCCATTACT